GACCGTTATCCTTTTGGGGTTTTTCATACCTCACTGGGCTCTACCTTATGCATACGGTCCGAACTCAAAAGCGATTGGATAGTTGGGGACCTTCCCTCGTTAGTGTTGTTTGTTGATACTCTTCGAATTCCGGAATTAGATCGACCAAAGAGTGGAAATGAATCTGTTCCGGCTATCAATTGGTCTACAGCTGTTTAGCAATTGTATCAATTGACTATAAGCCATATGAACAAGGCTTTTGCTGAATTCATGACCAAAAGATTTTCAGATACTTCTAGCATTGAAGGCACCGTCTTCAATTGTACTCTTATGCATTGTCTTAAATCGCACGATCAATCCGAGTTCCATTTAATGGGTGGCAGTAAGTATTTCTAATGATCTACGATATTAGATTGAATGTGAATATAACTAGTGAAAATGCAAACATTTATTTTATTCATGTAGTTTCGCAAGTAACACTTCATGGTTCATCTGACAATTTTCAAGAACTAATCGATCGAGTTAAGCAATTCATACACATTCTCCAAGTGTTTTGTGTATTGCAGAAGAGACAGAAAGGTTATCCTAATCATAGTAGAACGATGAATTTCGATTTGAAATGGAATATTGGTTGGAGTAATGATGCACGAAATTCTCTTTGAACACCATATGCAGAACGATTTCAACATTGGAAACAAAAAATATTAGATGTTTCAAATTGTGCACGATGGAGTAGCGATAAAATGATTTGTACATTGAGTCATGATGATACAAATGATGGTCCATTTATTAGCAAAAATATTCTATTGAATTGTGTTTCACATGCTCGAAATGATATGAATAAATTTGCTGATCTAAGAAATTTATTTACATGGCAAATATGTATTCCTAGTCATGCTCATATGATACATATAGAGAAGAAGGCTATTCATTAATCTATGAATATGGTGAAAATCTAGTGATAGCATATCATCGAGGTATTTTTGATAATCGTCGAATTGCTGTTATTCATAACTTTTCGAATCGTGGTTACACATGTTATGATATTCCATTACCATGATCGGATCCTAATGTAGGACGTATTCGAGATGCAGTAGAAATATTCAATACAGATGATTTAAAATATGATGGATCATGTACTTTTCAAAATCAATGGATTGAAATTAAACGTAACAATGAACAAGATATGGTATTCACAGTTGCTCTTTCTCCTCTGTCGACAATAATATTAGATCTGGATGTCTTCATTTTGTTTAATCACCCACCCATACCCCATCCTAAATGAACAGTAAAACGCTTAGTATTTGTACAAATTATTTTGTATTATTTTCCTATTCTAAAGTATTTATTCTTTTTATTTTTATATTCTTGTGAAATATTTGAAAAAGGTTTAGCTTAAGATAAAGTGAACGAAATTATTTGTTTGTTTTTGATAATCTATTCCTTGATTTATTTTTTTCGAGATAATAATCACTCTTAATTTCTCGAATGCTTTAGCTAATCTAGGGCTTTTCGATTTGAACACTAAGTACAATGAAATTTAAGACACGTCACTGTCTCGAGTGAGTATGATTTTAAATGATCAAATTGTATGACTATAATTCTGGTGAGTCTATACTATCCAATGCCAATGCATCAGGTTATGATTAAGAAAAAACTTGATCGAACTCTTCTTACTAAACATGCACGGATGAATAATGGATAATTTTTAATTTTCATTTCGAACTTAATTTAAAGCATCAATCAGATCGCGAAAAAAGGTTTGAAGAGTAAAAGAAATCAAAAATTTTCTTAAGAGGATTATAGATCATCTTCTCCTTATACATTTCACATCCACACTCATATCCTAATCATAAGTGCTTAAGCGTGCGAGAAGGACAAATATGAACAATGTACCCAAGAAGACCATGAGAAGCGAACGATGGGTGCGACGAGTGGTCGAAACTTGAATATATTTGTTTTTTTCTCGTTCTGTTCGAATTTCGAGGCCCTCGGTGCCTATCGAGTCTCGAGTGCTCGGAAGCATATTCCTATCGGACATTTATTTTCGACTACTCAGACCTATTTCGACCGCTCGAAAACCATCGAT